GCTTTATAAATCTGAAAAACTTAAAGAATGTTACCTGTGGGTAGCAATAGTTTTTACTGTACTGTGGTATAAAAGATATACTCATTTTCAGAAATAGTTGAAACTGACCATTGAATATATTTTTAGATAAAAAGTAGTTAATCATTCATTGACACAATAACTATTGATTGAGCACTTTCCATGTACTAGTCATGCAATAAATACTAAGAGTAAACACGTAAGGTAAGAACTGGGGGAGGAAAAAAAAAAAAACACTTCTGATCCATGGACCTTAAAATTAATTAACCGTAGACCTTTCCAAAAAAGCAAAGGATTTCTTTATGCATTGCATACCATTGCCTTTACCTAAGACGTCAACAGGTTTTCAATAGGATGAAAATTCAATAGTAAGGGGAAAAAATGATTTACAGTTATATGTGATCTTCTTTGAAAAATTCTCTGATTAAATTGTTTATAATAAAGAAGATATTTTCAGTCATAACAATAAATATAGTAGAAAGTAAAAGAGAGAATGAACAAAGTGAAAATAAAATGAGATTTTGCTCAATCTTTACATAACGTTAAATTTTTATCAAATGACTATAAATTAAAACAGGCATTTTTGGGGGGAAACACCTGTCCAAACTTTTATGTCACATATTTTAGCCCAGTAATTCTATTTCTAGAAATAACAAATACAAAGATTTAGACACAAATATCTGTATAACAACCTTATAAGAAATAAAAGAGCAAATTATTTTAAAAATGTAAAAATAAAACAATTACCACTTATCCACCAAAAAGTCTATTATACTGTAATTTAAAAAGCTATTTGCCAGATAATTTCAAATTGTTTATCATATAATTTAAAATTTGAGAATATAAAAACTACGTATATACATCTTATAATTCACTATATTAAAATATCTATAGGTACATTTTTAACCAATTACTACGTCTGTGAAAGCTAGACAATGAATAATGAAGACCACAGAGGAATTCATGACTTTGAATTATAGTGCTGGCAAAGGCAATTAAATATACCATGGACTGCCAAAATGAGCAAACCCATCTCAATGGAAGGACAGCCAGAATGCTCACTAGAATCAAGAATGGCAAGATTTCACCCCAAGTACTTTGGAAATAAAATGAAGGACCAGTCCCTAGAGAAGGACATCATGCATGACAAGGCAGAAAGTCAACAAAAAAGAGGAAAAGTCTCACCACAAGAACTGATACAATGGCTGCAACAATGGAAACATAGGAATGCTTATGAGTATGGAACAGGAGTAAGACCGTTTCAATCTGTTGCAGATTGTGCCTCTGTACCAGAGAACCAACTCAAGAGCACAAACAACAAACTGTAAGACACACACACAAAATTGCAGAAGCTATAACAAAATGCAAGCAATTATCTCTAGCTAAGGAAACTAAAATTTCATCATTTATATTAGTATATCCAAAGGTTTTAAGTATTCCTACAGTAAAGAAATGTGTTATTATAATATCAGTTCAGAAAGTCTGATGGGAAGGAAGGCTTCCCCAAAAAGCTTTTCCCAAATAAAAGGCTGACATTTTATACTAATAATGTACAATATAATCAAAATTAACTAAATATTAATAATGTATTATAATTAATACTGAAAAGTAAATTACAATTGGCAAGTAAATTATTATTTCCATCCTGGGACAGTTCTTTCAAACTTAAATATAACTAGGCATCTGTGAGTAAAATGCTTTTATTTCACAATACGAGAATTATTTTCAAAAGATGTCAAGTGTTCAATTTACTATTAAAAAATGTTCGTAATTAGCTACTAAAACGGGTTTCTATAGAAAAATTCAGATTAAAAAATCTGCAGAAATAATTTCAAGATGGTATTTTTATAAATGTTATAGAATTTAAAAAGCTGAATGTAGGTATCCAATTATAGAAATGTGACTCCTCAAGGAAATTTTTACAATCTGAAGCAAGCATAAAAATCAACATAAGAAAGTACTTCACCAGTGCTAATCACTGCAGAACTCATGAGTAACATCACAGTACACCATGGCCTTAGGCCAAATAATAAAATGCCAAATGGAAAATGGCCCAGGTCCATGAATTGTAAATACTGTATCAAAAGAAAATAAAGGAAAGTCTTCCATTAGAGCAATTAAAAATATAGTTGTAGTACCAAATTCCTGTGATGAATAAGTCAGACTAGAAACCCCAAAAGTGGAGAGTCACTATTTAAACACATTCTCTATTAGTAGTAACTTGACATTTAAATTCTTACTGTATGCTCCTTTAGCCTCTAAACCTTTTAAAATCACTAAAGTAATTCTGGTTGGTATAATTGGCTTACAGCTCGAAATTTTTACCAGGCATTTGATGATCAGGCACCTACCTGGCCCATGATCTCATAGTCAATAAATTAGATAAATACTACAAATAAATGCATTCCTATCAATGCACCTAAATTTTTTTTACCATAAACTATCTCGAGTTTGTACTAATCCAGCATCATTTGTCAAAGTATTTACACTAAATTGGTATGTTCTGTCACATAGCTTCTAAAGAAACCCAAAGTGAAAAGGTTTTCAATTTGAAACGGTTTCAAAAAATAATTCAAAACCACCTTAGTGGCCTAAACTAGTAGCAAGATCTGAGGGATGTTTCCAAATTTCAATCTAAATTTACAAGACAATTATGTTCTGCAAGAAGTTAGGAAGTTTCTGCAACACTTAGCTTTTGCTAACTAAACGCCCAATACTTATCAGTTTAAAGAAGCAGGCATTCATTATTTCTCATAATTCTGAGGGCTAACTAAGTGGTCTTTCTGGTCTGGGCTAACCTCCATGGAGGTCTAGCACAGAATCACACACATTTGCCATAAACCACACCAAGGTGTGGTCTTCTTCTGATGAAACCAAAACCAAATTAGACCAACTGCCCCTGAGTTGATTCTGACTCCTAACAACCCAATGCAGGGTGTCTGAGGTAGCACATCTTTATGGGGAGGAGACAGCATCGTCTTTTTCCCCCTGCAGAGTCCCTAATGTGCTCCAATCCCCAAACTAAGAGTCCAAAGCGATATTATTGGACAGTCAAACTTTAGGGCTCAAGCCATTCCCCACGAGACTACAACACATAGCCAATGCTTTGTTTTAAGGGTCAATTTCTAGAACTATAATACATACAAAGCAAACTATAAAAGCATTTTTTACTTCTGGAATGTCTTTCAAAGACCCAATTTAACCAAGTATGAGCTGACTTGGGGACAAAACAGATGATTCACACAGAAAAGGAAGCGTCTGTTGTCCTTGCGGTGATTTGATTGAGAACTATGCAAAGACTGTTAGAGATGAGATATATGTAAAAGAGTTCGAGGGATCATTAGATTTTTGTTGTTGCTCTAAAATTACCCTTGTTGATACTTTCTTTAACAATTAAACATGCAATGAGCATGCTGTTGCTATTAGGTGCCAACAAGTTGGCTCCAACCTATGTACATCAGAAGGAAACAATGCCAGGGTCAAGTGCCATCCTCACAATTGTTCTTATTGCTGAGCTCATCAATGGAGCCACTGTGTAAACCCATCTCCTTAAAGGCCTTCCTCTTTTTTGCCATCCTTCCACTTTACCAAATATGATGTCTTTTCTCCAGGGACTGGTCTCTCTGGACTCTGTATATAGCCCAGCAATTGCACTCTTGGGTATATATCACCACGGAAATGAAAACTTGTATTTATTCATAAGTGGATGTTCACAGCAGCTGTATTCAGATAGCTGAAAACTGCAAACAGCTCAGATATCCTTTAACACTTGAATGGATAAAGCACTGTGATATATATATATACACCAAATATACTGACTGACACCACCACTTGTCTGTCTGTGTGTTGGGATGGACTTGATGGCACCCAACACCATCTGATTCATGCAAATTGGATGAATCTCCAGGGAACTAAGGGAAGAGAGAACAAAGTGACTGTAGTTACAAAACGAGATAGACTCTTTTGGAACTCTAATTTTATTCAAATTTTCCCAATTTTACTTATTTGTGTGTATGTATTTAAAAAACAGGAGAGATCCTTTTGTAGGTGGGCTTTCACTCGTTACTGTGGCAGTGAGTACACACACCTACAAGTAATAAAATGGCTTGCTGTTATTTGTTGTTAGGTGTCGTCAAGCCCTGACACACACACACAGTTGCTGTCAACGTGATTCTAACTTATAGCACCCTGAGTACTACAAAGCAGAGCCGCGTCTGTAAGGTCCTCGTGACCTTTCCGAACAGTGGTGCTCCTCCTTCCTCGTGCCACGAACCTACAGTTCCTCATGTTGTACTGACCCCCAACCATAACATTATTTTCGTTGCTACTTCATCACTGTCATTTTGCTACTGTTATGAATTGGGCGACCCCTGTGAAAGGGTCGTTTGACCCCCAAAGGGGTGGCAACGCACTGGTTGAGAACCACTGGTTTAGAAGTAGATCACCAGTCTTTTTCCCCCAAGGGGCCTTCAGCCATAAAAAATGAACTCCACTTAAGTGGATCCTGACTCATAGTAATTCCGTAGATCTGAGTTGAACTGCCCTACAGGGTTTCCAAGACTATGCATTTGGCTGACACTGGAAGATTCAAATTGTTGCTCTTTCTTTTAGCAACCTAGTGCTTTAACTACTGTGCCACCAGAACCTCAAGTTGCTTCTGGGTGGGTTAGCAGTTGAGTGCTTAACCATTTGCACCACTCAGGGACTCCTAAATATAAACATATATAAATGAGTATAAATAAAACTGGGAAAATCTGATTAAAATTAGAAGACTGTATCAATATCAATATTTTTACAATATGATTCATCAGTAAAGGATAAAGAATACACATGATCTCCCTGTACTACTCCTTACAACTGTATGTGCATCTGCTATTATTTCAATAAAATTTCAGTTAAAGTAGTAAAAGAGTTTAACCTCAAAAGACACTCCATGTAGGCTCAATTTCTTTTGGAGTCTCAATGTGGCTACTACAACTTACATTTGGGACATCAATTGCCACCTCTCTCATGGCACTGGGCCTGATATCATTCATTGCCTTTAAGAAATCATTCAGCGTAACCTTCACCAATCCGGCCACTTTGCTGTCGGGGAAATCAGGCTGTTTCTTCAGGACTCTCCGCAAAGCACAGAGACCTACAAGGAGAAGAATAACATAATCACCTTCTATCCCACAAAAGCAACCCACCCCCCCAAACAAAAATCATTATAAAGCCCCAAGTCACAAGCAGATGATTACTACCGCAAAGCTGTGTGCTTGTAATGGAGAGAAGAAAGCAGGGGATGATTAAGGCAGAGTCCTAATGCATAGTTTGGGCAGTGAAAATATGACAAACTGGCATTAAATATGAGAATACAAATGTTTTACACTTTTGAAAAAGCATGTAACACCTCCACAAGACCAAAAACGCTGATCAAAAGTAATACAGGGGATTTCTTGTTAAGAGTAAATTATTAATAACATGCTTTTTGCCCCTGCCTTTTCATTAATACATTCAAGCCAGAGTTAAAATTTTGTACCTATTGGCAGACTATCTGAAAAGAAATATTTAGCTGACTGATGAAAATGTGCTTTTGGAACTCGGAGAAATTCAGAGTTCAGAATTATGCACACACATGAAATCTGATACTGTAAACAATGGAAGATATCTACAAGGTGAAGCTAGAGAGGGATCAGAGACCTGGGGTAAAGGCTAAAGGCTGAGTTTTAAGAAAGTCCATCACTTGAAAGAAATTATAATTCTAAAAATGAGAGAAATAATTAAAAGAGATGGAGGAGTATAACCAAGGTAATAAAATACTGTAGAAGCCAAAATCATTGTCAACCAAGTTAAATTTACTTAATGGTCAAAATAAACTGAGATTATGCTAGCCTAGAATGTTAAAGGTGTTCTCTGACTGAATTTAACAGCCTTCCATAGCACCAGATTCAGGCTCCTTGATCTGAGACAAGGCCCTCCAGTTTAAAGTCAGCAAGTCCCTGTGTGCGCTTTACTTTAGAGCCTTTCAAGGAGATACTACATTTGTGTTCCAGTTCACAATGAACTTCCACTTTGAAGAAGTCTAGTCATGGAAACCTCTTAAAAATCTAGATTGTGTCATCATTTTTAACCACATTTATCTGCAACATTATTGTTTAGTGAACTTTTCCTAAATTAAAGTATCTTTAAACCTTTCATTTCTGTTATATGTTTACAGAAATGTTTAAATGTTTATAGAAAAAAAAGTAAGCACTGACTCAAGAAAGGCAGACATAATTGCTAATAACAGTGGGTTGGGTATCATTTATTACTAAAAGGGGGGGGGTTTAATATCATCTACTACTAAAAAAAGTATGAAGAGAATAATACAAATATACTTAAAAATTAGTATAATATTTTTCAGATAATTATCCATGTGAGTCTAACACTTACACATGCCTCTTGAGCTTACAACTCACTATGGGAAAAGCTATTAAAAAAGCAAAGTATAGGTATACATAAAATACCTCTATCTTTTTTTTTTCACGCATTGGAAGGCTTAAAATATATATATTTTTTAACATTTTATTAGGGTCTCATACAACTGTTATCCCAATCCATACACACATCAATTGTGTAAAGCGCATTTGTACATCGTTTTTCAAAACATTTTCTCTCCACTTAAACCCCCGACATTAGGTCCTCATTTTTCCCCTCCCTTCCCGCTCCCCCCTCCCTCATGAGCCCTTGATAGTTTATAAATGGGTATTTTGTCATATCTTGCCCTGTCCGACGTCTCCCTTCACCCACTTTTCGGTTGTCTGTCCCCCAGGGAGGGCAGTTCCATGTAATCGGTTCCCTCAAAATACCTCTATCTTGTAGGGAAATTTTCTTAGTAAGTCCCCTCTTATCTTAAAAGTCATGAGACTTATTTATGACTCTTATAAATACTCCAATTGGTTTTTCTGCCTCCCCAAATTTTGAAAGCACTTCTTCATATCTCTCAAACATTTGTGTTTATCTTGTGAAGAGAGTACTGAATACCTTTGTTCCACGCTCTCTTTTAAAGGATGTATATATGAATATCATAAAGACAGAGACTCCCTCACAAGCAAAAGGCAAACATTCTTATTGTCCACTATGAAAGATTCAGATTCCTCAAATATAGAATTTCCTGCCTCTCACTCAGCCTTGGATAAGCTGGCTTAGGTGTATCCAGATTCCTTTGTGTTGCTCTGTAAAAATGAAGGTTCACACAGGTGTTGTGTGGTTCAACTGGTTCAAACTACTGACCTTATGGTTAGTAGCTGAATGTCTAACCCACTCCACTGACTGCTTAAGTTCTTTCAGGATACCAGGGTGCTTTTAATTTGCTTCTGTAATATTTTGTCATTTAATTCTGTCCCAGGAATATTGTGTCTTCTCCAAGTACTCAAAAAACGTTTTCCTTCAAAGTAGAGTAAAATCTCCATCCACTTCCTAGTTCTTGACATACAAGAGGTTGTCTCACTGTCTAATAAACTTATTAGTAAAAGGAGGCAATATCATAAAAAAGAGTGCAGACTGCAGTAATATAGAACTGTGTGGTATTAAAAGCACCCTGGTATCCTGAAAGAACTTAAGCAGTCAGTGGAGTGGGTTAGACATTCAGCTACTAACCATAAGGTCAGTAGTTTGAACCAGTTGTTCCACAGGAAAAAGATATGGCTTCCTACTCCTGTAAAGATCTTAAGTATTGGAAACTCACAGGGGCAGTTCTACTCTGTCGTAAAGGCTATCTACGAGTAGGAATCAACTTGACAGCAGTGAGCTTATGAAGATCTAACATATATGGAAGTAATCAAAAGACCTGAATAAGCAGACTTCTTTCCATACGTCCCAAATGACTAATATTTGTCAGCATTTCTAATTTGGGCCAGTGCTAAGATAATAAAATCTGAAACTAGGGACGTTCTCTAATAATTTCCTGCCATATTTATGATATTGGGTAACTCTGAACACTCAGTTTAATGATAAAAGTGGCTGAGTATTTTCATTTGAGGAAGGAGGTGGGACAATACAGCAGCATAACAACAAATATGCCCACCCAGTCCTCACTTCCTGACAAGATTAGGTTCCAAAGAGTAAGGTAAAGACCAGCATTATTTAAAAAGGATGCCTACAGTGGATCACAAACTGGATTATATCATTGCATAACTGACAAATTATATCATTACATAACTGTCACATCACACCATTATCAAATCCTCTGCCACTGAGGTGATTGATTCAGAATGACCCTGAAGGACAGTGTAGAACTGCCCTATAGGATTCCCAAGGCTTGGATGAAAGCAAACTGTCACATCTTTTTCCCACGGAGTGCTGATGGATTCAAAACTGCCAACCCCACCCCCCACCCCAGTTAGCTGAGTGCGTTCACTACTGTGCCACCATGACTCCTTTCATTATTACTTAACTGCCAAACCTCTGAAAACCACCACCCACCCAAGTGGGCATATGGCCTCAACAATCACAGTCAGTGATGGTCTCACCTCACATTACACAAAACACTGGGTAGACATTTCACTATTGTAAATGTGAAATGTCATAAACAGAATAATAAATGACAATAGATGAGTAATATAAATGTGTTTATAAAACAAAAAAAAGTCTAAAGTATCTAATAAAAACTTTACAACAAAATTTCCACAACAGTGGGGAATAGCAACAATTCACAACCGAAGTGAAGAGGCATGTAAATAAAGAAATAAGGAGTTTTTGAAAGCTAAGACTTAAGAAGATACAAAGGTTCATTCTGTGATGAATACAGCATAGCTTAACGTATCCAAGTGCTAAACAAACATATATTTACCACCGATGCACTCAATTCTAAATATATTTTTGAAATGTCTTTTTAAATTAGAAGGCATACATAGAAAATTAGTCTTAAGTCTTGAGTCGCTTCATTTTTCTTTTAAACCAAAAACATTAGCTTATTTCATTACTATCTCAGTCTCTACACAGACATACAAAAGTTAACTGACTAACTCTAAAATAAACTTATCTGACTAACTCTAAAATAAACTTATAATGAAGACCAAAAAGGGGTCACTTACTATTTAATCAAGAGTTGAAAAACAAAGATTTTAAGTTACTCAAACCAAGTAAGGGCAATAGATTAAACAATATTTGATTCTTTCTGAAGCCCTATTAATATGGCAGTAAACTAATTTTGAAAGTATAAATCCAAAATAACAAATACAGACAGAAGCAACAAAATAGCAATAAAATATAAGAAGCTGGAGAGCAGATGAGTAACTGGAAACTAGCATGTAGCAAAGACAGGAAATCTGCTTCCCTAGTGTGAAGTAAAAAATAAAATCTGAAAGCAAACAGATGTATGCTTGCTGCCCAAACAACCCCCACCCCACACAGAAGAGGGGAACCCCCCCAAAAAGAAAAGATGTTCAAAACGGCAGCAACAGTGCTTGAAGAAAGAAGAGATAAATTAAGCCTTAAAACGGAGGCTTTGAAAGAGGTTGGGGAACAGCCTAGATCTCCAACATTCTCCTCCCCAACATCATGGCATCAGGTAACTGTTCCATCCCCTACATCTGGAAGATGAATTTCCTGCAGTAACACAAGGGAGTTTCTAGACAGGACATACAAATGTAAAGCCCTTTAAGGCCACCATAGGCAAATTAAGTGAAAAACTGTCTTCTAGTAAAGATACTGACAAACGCTTTCCCAAGAAATAGCCTATACAAAAATGCCATTGAAGCCCAAAGGTCACAAAGCCCTTTTATGTTTTAGAGTATCTAATCAAATTTTAGGGCTCATCATATTCAAATGAAAAAACAAACATATGCAGGGATCTAAGGCAAATTCCTAATAAGAAATGCTCACACAAAACAGAAAAACAGATATAAGAAGAAACAAACACAGTAACAGGAGTGGCCAGCAAGATGATTTGGTTAGTTTAAGAACTGCAAGGCATTGGGATCTGTAGAAAAGCTGTACTAGTTTGCTTCCCTTCTCTCACAGAAAGGAATCTGGTGGTATGATGGGTAACACACTGGGCTGCTAACCACAAGGTCAGCAGTTCAAAACCACCAGCAGCTTCTTCAGGATAAAGAGGAAACTTTCTACTGTCTCAGACACACCACAGGGTCTACAAAAAAGGTTTCTAACAGAGAA